CCAAAGGCCAGCCAGGTCGCTGCTGTGAGCGAGAAGAAAGTGTCAGAATAGAAGCCAGAGTATCTCACAGCTCCTTCCTTCCCTAAGATCAGTTTAGCAACTCTCCAGTATTGTAAAAACCCTGCAATTCCCCTGCCACACCCACAGCATGTAACAGACGACATAAAGCGTGTGTCTTTTAATGAAAATGAAAAAATAAAATGTACTCCAAAGGATAGTATATTTTTACTTAGTACAACTAAAAGCCAGTGCTAAAACTGATTCCTCACAGTTCTGATCACCATGAAAGATTTTTTATCATTCCACATTTAGACAAGTAAGCCTCCTGACAGCTATATAACAAATAGGGATTTTAAAGTGTTTTATACAGCGAAATCTCCCTCTTCCAAAAATCAAGTGTTACAAATCTACTTTTGGAAAAAACCTCTCAGATCACAACAAAACTGTCATTGAGTTAAGCAGGTATGAAATCTAAAAATGCTCCAAAATAAGGATTTATTTCACTACATCTAATTACAGTGTAATTCAAGAACATAGCGCTATATAAACAATTTGTCTCCTATCCCCAGCAACCACATTCTTGGAATGCCTCTTTCTAAACAGGATTCTAAATACACTCATATGCCTTCCTGGCACACTCTTACAAGACATCTAATTCGAGCAACGCAGTTGTATGTGTTCTGATGTATGGTACACCTCAAAATTATATTCTGTTTGACTGTGCACTACAAAATGAAGCAAAACAAAAAAGAAAAATGTACTGAAGATATGCCATCATTATAAAGATAAATTAATAGCCAGAAAATTTATGACGAATCTATTAACTTCATAATTCACAAGTCAATGAATTCTGCTTCACCGTGCTTGGTACTGTTCTACATCGGCCAGTCTACCTGCTTCAGATTGTGCGGACTACTATTTTGACAAGACCTGGATAGCAGTAGGTCCAAAGCAATCAGAAGGTTGACTTTGACAAATGGTGGTGCTGCGGCGAAGTTGAAAATAACACACATCCACTTTAATCTCTTTCTTGATTAAATCGAAACCATACCATTCTGACATCATGTGATTTGCTCATGAAGCATCACTGCAGGTTACTTTAGAGGCTACATCTATTGAGATGATATTGAATTTTTAGGGGAAGTACTTAATTCATTCAAATGAAACCTTCAGAAGGTAACTGGGCCACCAGTCACTGATAACTGTGCAGATTCAAAGAAAACCAAAGGAAAAATCCCTGACAAAAACCACCATATGCTACTGCATGATATTTTAGTAGGTATTATCTTTTGCTTTCAAAAAGAGAAGATTATACGCATAAAGCATATTCTGAAGCTTTTTACCTATTCTGCCATAGTCAAGCTCCAAAGGTAAACATTACACTAGGTAATAAAAATGCAGAAGATGAAATTGTCTTTTTTACATGAGACTAGGCAAATATTTATGGGGCAGTTGACAAACTCCTGCCTAGTAAAAGAGCCAGCACTGAGAGCAATTACCCTGATATTCATGACTCACTTTGAATATCACATTGAATATTACTCATAAATCTTTTACGAGCACATCCCCAGAGCTCACTTAACAGCCGGTTTTAATCATGCAGTTGACACAGAGAAAATAACAAAATGTATTTTTTCAGTGGCAAATTAATTTAGGCTTGAACCTCCCGCCGTAGCTCTATTCTTTTCTTTTCTTTCATTCCTTTTTTTTTTATTTTCTTGTACTGAGATCAGTTAAATGCACTTTTGCATTTAACAGCAATATTTCTCCAATGTTGCAAAATTAAAAAGTGCCTTATTTTTAAGACCTATTCTTAGTAATTACTGACTTTTAAACTACATAGCTGTAAACATTTAAGTGTAGTGTGAGCCCCATACCCTTTATTTTACTGAAAGAACAGATACTTTGAAAATCTAAGTGGGAAAAAGAAAGCATTCATTTAGCTAGTATTAAATTGTGGGTGGTCTTTTTACATCCAGTTTGACTGTCACTAGCTGTTGAAGATACCAGCCCTAAAATGCTACCCTCATTAGCTCACTTGCAATGTTGCATTAATTATTTTTATATCAGTCAGAAGAAAAGTTGAAACAAAAATATCCTAAAATAATTAAAAAAAACCCCAAACTACTAAGATACTTACGGAGGGCCTGTTCTTTTTCTTGTAGAAATCTTTCTAACACAATACGAGCCATCAATGATGGGGCAAAGTCCACCTTACCTCAACAAAAATAAAAGGAGTATTTTAGAAGGTAAATGAATTTAGGTGCACATTTGTCAGCACTGTAATCTTGTAGATTTAAAATAAAGAGCAAAAATAGATGAAACAGTGGCTTTTCCAAATTATTAAGCTCAACTAGTTGAACCAAATGTGTAGCAGCAATCCACAGTACCCAGTGGAAAACCAAATAAAGTAGATAACATATATTACTGGCTATTATGTTTGCACATATTGCATTTGAATCACTCTTTGTAAAAGATGACAGTAAAATCCCTTTTGTAAGGTTACACACCAAGGAAAAAAAGTGGTGCTCCTTTGCTGTGAATGCTCACTATATTTGGCACCCGTCAAATGGCACCACATATCCTTAATATAAACATCTCCAGCAGATGTGCTGGGCTGGGTCAAAACTTCTTTAGAGTTTACATCTTCCTTTTTAACAAAGCTATTCCTCCATTTCAATAGTTTTTATATGTATGGAAAATGTATGGTGTATTTTCATCTGAAATTACAACAGCTTTTTGGATACCATTATAATATTCCTTTAGTGCATCAGAATTTTAACTATGAGACAGTAGAACTTGCTCACACATTGTCACACTGAATGTTTCCTGACATGTTTTCAAGTTCAATATTAATGCAAAAATTTTATCTTGATTTAGTAACTAGACAAAAAAGGTGGCTTCATTTGTGCATACAGTTTTTTCCAAATATGTATGTACTTGGATGCCCTTAAATTCCCCAAGTAGAGAGAAATGCTTTTCACAGAGCTGCTTATTTCCAGTAACCCACATCACAGCTGACACATGAAAAATGGTGAAATTACTGAAGGTAGTCCAGCCTGAATAAGGACTACCTTATTAGTTCAGGTACTTGCATCTCCCTAATTTTCATATTAATCATGTGTCCATCTTTCTTTGAAATCGGGCCATCATGCTTCATGTCAGAATTTAGCATGTAAGTAAAATTCATAGTGCTTCAAATCTCACTTGAAAATATTTGTATGAACAGTGACTAATTTTATTATTCCTATCTAACAACGAGATTTATTTTAGTCCACTGCACTACATACACAATATGAAGAAGTTGGCAAGAAAAAAAAAAAACTAAAAGTAGTTTCCCAAACCCTCAAGAAAACAAACTCAAAAGATAATAATATGGAGCTTTTGCTCTTTAACAGAGCTGCTACGCACTGTAATGCACCTATGTTATATATTTCTCATCAATTTTTACAGTTTCCACTGATTAAATATATATTGACTCATAAAGTATTACCATTACATCAATTGTCAGCAGATGCAAGAGTATGTCATTTAAATATTAACTATCATATAAAAATGGCAGCTTGATTGTTTGGAAGCAGTAATCTGGTGCTGGTTATTGCCACATTTCCCTAATGCATTAGGCAGCAGTCAGAAAATACACTGCCTTTCTCATATACCTGCTACTACAAAATCAGAAGCAGATAAGTTCTTTGTATATCTTCCCTTTCTCCCAGATTTAATTTTTACTTATTTCTGAACTGCATAGATCTCTGATCTGAATTGCAAAAATGCATTAGTATAACATAAACAAGGATATGCTCACTAGACTCAGAAATTATATGCACCATCTCTAAATCAATGGGAAAAAAATATATGAAGAACCAGTAACAGATATATTACTTTGTGCTTGAAATATTTTTATGACAGTTCCCATATAATATGGGTGTGATATATCACAAATAAGGTTCTTTACCTAAATTCTTAATAAAATTGTACTTATTTATGTAAAGTACATGCTATTCTCAGTACTTTAAGACTTGTCTTTTCCAGAAATGGTAAGAAGCTACACATTACCACTAACATGAAATAAATCCCTTATTCTATGCTAACTGTATGATCAGGGTATGTGGACACTTCACAGACCATTAAAACCTTCTAGTAATTGATAGGTAATCACTCATTTGCCGGCTGCAGAAATGTACATGAGAGAGAAACCATTCTTTCTTACTAATGTTACGTGTAGAACTTGCTGCTGTTGCAACACTTAATGTTCGTAGTGCCGTGACATTTTTAATGTAAACACTCATTTTCTGCCTCCTCCTTCCATTTTCTATTAAAATGCAACACAAAACAGCATACATTTCATTCTATCCCTCTGAGGGTTGCGTAAGCAGTTGCAAGGAGTATCAGCTATCGTATTGTTATTATTATTGTAAATAAATATTTTAGAGTTTAAGGGGTAGATATTTAATCTCTTTTTTCTAGGAGGCTCACTGCCACTCTTTCAAACTTTTTACATCTTAAGGCAGTGCTTTAGATAGCAGTTTTAAAAGCAAATAACACCTTGCACCCCAAGGCAGATTCATATTGTAATTAATAAACAGCATCAATGAATTTGTCAAGACTTTAATGGCAACCATACTGAACTTTACATACACCAGCTTTTCTAGGAAATGGCTATACCGAGGAATTTATTCTGCTAATTGCTTTATATTAAGCAGTTTTCATTAGCCATCCTTTAATCTGTGTGACTAGAAAAAACGGAGTCAGGAAAAAGAACTGTTTTAACCCTTCCTATTATTAAAAAAAACCCCAACAAAACTTAGAAGGGTTTTGTTATTGAAAACAAGGAATCAAATATAAGTAAAAATGCTGCAACTCCATTTAATCAGTGTGGAATTTTAATAAGTTTGTGCATTGAAGATCTATGATCTGCCTGAGATTTCCAGCAAAATACAAATTCAGAGTTTCTTACACATTCCTTGAAGTTAACAGACTAATTACATTAACTGATTTATTAATAAATGGGGCTTTTTGTCTAATTATTGTAAGTACTAACAGACTGGGGAACCATTTTAAATGTCTAATGTGCCTTGAAACCAATTTTTTAGGTTAATTACATTTCTCACTGAAGTCACTATAGATATGCCCCTTAGGTTTTACACTGGAAGATTAAAGAAAAAAGTGAAGTTGATTACCTCATTGGCCAGCTCCAGTAATACAGGGGCAGCTGCATTTTTCATCACCCCATTCAGGTATCTAGACAAGACAAAGACAGGTAATTCTGCAGTGGCAAGAAAAGGCCAGTTTATACAAGTCAGCATCCCTTGTGATTCTCTTTCATTTGGGGGAAAATATCCCAGTACACAGTATTTAATGGGAAATCTTTTAAGAAATAAGTATTTTAAACAATCATTAACTCTCCGGGGTCATCTCCTATTCATCTGCAAGATATGTCAATCTCAATTACAGATTTTGGGTACCACATGACCTTCAACTGTGGTGGTGCACCTGTATATCTTATGCAATTCATTACTATGCACAAAAACGTACGTTCTTAAATTTAATCCAGATTTTATCAACTGGGCAGTAGTTTGAATACTAAAGGCTTACTTGAGTGAAATCAGAGTTTAACAATCAAATGAATATTCTCCAGAGAAAATAAAAGAAATATATAGGATCCAATAAAGAGTGATAGAAAGTCATTATCCTATCAATGGCAAAGGCTTATCATTTCCATTTAAGGGTATTAGGCCAATATGAATACACAGTGATGTTTCCGACCATTGCATCATACAATATCCCCTTCCTCAGCTCTGTTACTTTCACCGTTTGATGTTTATACTTCAATGATGCCTAAAACCTCTTCTTAGGAGTTGGTGAGAAGAAGCTCTATTAGTGGAAGCCACTTCGTGCATTGCAGCCATGTGAAAAAGAGGAGCAGTTACCAACATTTGAACCTGCTCATTTATCCTATATGTATTTGTACAGCACATCATTACTGACATTATTATAAGACCACAGCCTTTCCAGCTCTATCATCATCTATCCATCAGAAGCCACTCTTCTGCTCATTCGTTAGAGACGTAAAAATTCTTTATCATTTTACCTTTCTGTGAAATGGGTGTAAAATCTTTACATGAACCTCTTCACAGAGGATTAGAGTGCTTTTTGTTTGCAAGTCACTCTGAGGTTTAAGGAATAGAGGAAATGATAAAAGCTTTTTGCTGTAACCTATTTCAATTCTACATAAAAAAGCACGAAACAAGATGTCTCACGTCTAGTTAAACACTGAAACTTTCTAGAAGAAGAAAAAAAGGGAGAGATCATAAATAAAATACCTAATCAGGAAGATTTACTTGCTATTAATGTTCTAAAACTTGCATCTAGTCGATATCAGCCACAGCTGACAATGGTGTAATTTTCTGTCAGGTATTTCTGATGCTACCGGCAATTCCATTATGGCATAACAGGTCTCACATGTTGATGGCAATACTGTTCTGAAAAGCTTGCTGATACCCTTCTTGTAATCTGCCTTCCTGTTTGCCTGTATTTAAGAATAGCAAGTCTCAGCAGAGCAACAGAAACTACTCCATTCAATTGTACTTCTACTTGCTCCCAGTAGGGACCACTGGAAATTACTACCTTCAAAAACTGGTAGTTTCTGACCTAGGAAAGCAATAGGAGCACAATTATTTGCTTGTATGTGGGTGCGAATAGAAAGGAGCATACAACACAGACAAGGGTTTACAGAGGTGAGATGGATGCTACAAAAGAGTAGAGGAGAAGACATGTTTGTCATGTTTATGCTTGGAGTATTTCAAACTGGCTTCTGACTCAAGTAGTCTGTCCCCGTAGCTTACAAAACATACTACACAGTAAATCTACTAAAACAGGATGGAGATGAGTTTTCTAACTATTAACCAGAACATCCCTGATTTTAAAATGTGCATTTTATTCCTCCATGTTAATACATTTGCAATATGAAATACCCAGAAACAGCGTAAAGAATGATTTTCCCCTACCACCACCATATAGCTTCATACATAATGCATTAGTTATGTACTGCTATCATACTTCAGACACTACAGAAGGGGACAAGAGACCAAATCCTGCTACCTGATGTGAGCCAAACTTAATCATACCTACAACCTTACTGACACCAAAACAACTGCTGCTTTGCATAAAGCAAAATTTGGTCCCACATTTGAGGATTAAGTTGTTGGAACTAGTAACACAATCACTATAAAAGCAAATGAAATGATTTACATATGTTCTAAGAAAAGGGTTATTTACACAGAAGTTACAATGAACATAGGGCCCTTCAATGAAATTTTGCTAGTGAAAAGTAATTAAATATAGTACTGTATTTACATGGTTATTAACACAACAATATTTTAAGCCAATATTCTTCCTAAATAAGGATCAACACTAGGAAAAGTGCAATGTGATCCAGTACAAACTTTTACAGAACAATACAACCACTAAAAAAAGAAAATTAACCCCCCAAACCATCACAATTCACAGTAGATATTCTAAATTGGTGTCTCATATAATCAGGCTGTGCTTACGTTTTAAATATATGACTCTGCGGAAGCACAGTTAATTGTTTACAAATGAAGGCTTTTTGTTTATTTTTCTGATTCATACAGAATAATATGAAGCATAAATACCAGACATCTGTAATCACAAGTATGAACTCACTTGCCATGCAAGCTCCTCAGATATGTCAGTCTACAAAGTAATATTTTAATTGGGTATCTTTACCAGTTATCAGTATGCCCCAATTATGTCATTGCAATATTTTTAATAAAGGCTAAAGAAATAGCAGACAAACTATAAGGTGTAGCAAATATAACTTATTAGCTTAAGATGCAAACAATTGTAAAATACTGTAAAATGACATAAAGGTTTTCATCCTCCCTTAACAGCTACTTCTGACACTTCTGTTGATAGAACAGCGGTGATCTAAAAATTAGTGCTCAAACTGGCAACAGATAAATTTAATGTGCAACTTTCTGTAGTGTAACAGAAATGCCATTTTAAAAGTACAAGGAACTGTAAGAGAACAAGCTCCCTTGCTGTAAGGAAGTTATCAGTATTAGTCTTGACAAAGAAATCCTGTAATTACAAACTATAGGCAATATATAATAAATGCGATCACACACACTGTAAAAAATATTTGGTTATCCTGACTTAGAGCTAAGGAAGTGAACCCTCGCTTAATTAGCCTCACCAAAAGCTGAAAAATTTCTGCATTTTCACTGAAAACATTTTAGGTGCACTGTTCTTTATTCCTCATCCCATTTTTTAAAATTTATTTTTAATAGGAAATTATATTAATAAGCTAATAAGCTAATTTACTCATAATTGCCACAATAATTAGTAGTTATGACGATAGTCTTAACTGGGGTGGGGAGGTCATACCTTTGGTAGTAAGTTTCAATAGCTTCAGCTGTGTGATGCTTGGCATGTGTTCTTTTGATTTGTTTCTAGACAAATGAAAAAAACCAGAGTCTTACAAATGTGTCATAGATCAAAACACAGAAATCATGACTGCCCAAACACATGTTCCTTGGCTACAACTTGATACATAAACTGAACTATGTTTTTAGATTCTGTACAGAAATGACATTCAATCTACCTATTGAATTGAACGTCTTCAGACTGTACTGCAATGTACCATATATGTAAAAGCCAGTAAGGTCACAATAATTGAATCTAAATAAGTTTACTGAAGGCTGCAGAGGGCAAAGAAAAACTTGTTCTCTCTTTCAACCTTTGTATTAATTTTCCCTCAATTCAATTCCATCTAAGTCTGGTGCACTCTAGTTTTACAATTCAATTGGCATTTTTAACCAGGAAGAACATTGCTTAAAAACAACTTATTTGAAAAAGTACAAAAAGTAATTCCATAGAGACTTGCCACTTGACTGACACCTGTCATCTCATGATAAATGACTCCATTTTCTGCCTCTCTTGCCTTCTGCCACTCCGGCAATGGTCATTTATCATCATCTCTGTCAGCAATGGAAAGCAGCACTGACAGTGCAAGTCAGCAAACATTTAGCACATGGAACCACGCAACACAGGGAAATTATTATTGTCAGAATAATAATGGTTTAGCATAATTTATTACAGGTCCACCAAATAAGCAAAGGCTAGATGTTATTAGACAGATGGATGGGTAGGCTTGGCAGCCATCCACTGAGACTCAGGCGGTGCTTGATGTGGAAAAGGGAACATCCTCCAAACCAATCAGAAAGCTGGCAGTTCAATTACAAAGAAATAAAGGGACATTCATCATTCAATTAGGCACCTGTCAACCCTCACAAAGGAGAAAACTTCTAACCTGGTACTCCTGGGAGAAGATGCTCAGCAGAGTGGACTGCGATTGACTGGAACAAATAAAAGAAGGACAAAGTTAATTACTGGAGTGCACTGCAAAGAAACAAAAGAGAAGGGAGCTTCAAAGGTAGGCCTGCTGCCCTGTAATCTAACAGAACATGAAAACAAGTGTGGAAAAGTTGTTCCAGATGAACACCTCAGACAAAGGCTTCCCGCTGCTAGGTCAAGGAGAGAGCGTACGAGGGAGGGGAGGAAAATATAGCAAGAGTTTCAAAGCAAATGAGCATATTGTTTGGGTGATTCCTTTTTCAGCTTCAGAACCCACAAAGTCCTATCAGAAGCAGGTAGCTGAGTTAAAAGAGAACAGGCAGTAAGGAAAACAAAGCAAAATTTCCATTAATAATTGATGGAGTTAAATTCCATCAGCAGTTGGGAACATGCCGCTTGTTCATTGGCAACATATTGAAATTCATTTTGTTAGCAGCAAGGGAAACCTCTTCAGTAGCTGTCTCATATTCAGGTTAAAAACTTCCCCCTCTGTCAGAAGTAGCATATGGGACCACTGGAACATTCCCACTGAAACTGATGTGCTTTGAAAATAGAAACTTTCACAGCAGGAAGCCAAGATTCCCCAGAGTCGGTCATTTCCAAAAGCTGCCATAAGCTTCATTCATCTAAGGCTCCACTCAATGTCAAACACCTGGCAATGAAGCAACCTGGAAAGCATTCTTCCCAAGTGGGATTTTTTCTCTCTGAATTGTTAACATTTAGAAATGGGACAAGATTTTTTTTCCCCCTCTGAAAGGCAATCAATACCACACCGCTACTGTTTTCAATTGTCCTCTGTGGATATATCTACCTCATCACATCCTGAATACAATTAATTATTCCTGATATATTTTCCTACTACATGCAACTTGAACAAATGATAATCTCAATAATCAAGTTCTATGGTACAGCAAAGCATTATGAATAATTAACATTTTTCCTTTCATGAACTTACCTACTAAGACATAGTGTAGGTAGTTCAAATATTCAGAGATGTCTCTCTTCTGCCAGATTTCTTATATGTGAATTTAACACCTGTATCACATCATATGTACATTAAATGTAAATGTTCTCTCCATAGTTAAATGGCCCTTCTCCTTGCAATTTTCACACCTCAGAAATACTAATTTAAGATAAAAAAGTCTTACTCCCATTTTAAATAGGGAAAACTGACACACAGATTATCTGAATCAGGTTCAGGTTTAAACAGACAGCATGTCTAGGCAGCACAATATAAAATGTTACCTCTAAACCAACCAGTTGAAGCATTAGCAACAAAGCAAGAAGATCAACGCAGTGCTATATAACAAGCTTATTAGTTTTTCTTATCCATGTCTGTGCTTCCAGCATCTTTGCCATAACACTGTATTTTGGACTTGTCTGGCCAGTGCAACATCTGTGTGACAGCAGTAAACTAAGCCTCAATCTCCAGTATTTTACAGATGAGAATGTTCACCCTGAGTATTCACTGACTGTTAAAACTGTAGAAGAATTACAGCAATGTAGACTAATATACAGATTTATGAAATTAATGGATTACAGAAAAATGAATTACAATACAGTCAAGAATTTAAATATTCTTAAATACACATAATTTGACACACAGGCCAAGAGATATGTACAACAGTCCTTCCCCAAAAGGTGCACCATGCAATTACGGCAACCTTCAGCATGCACATGAAACCATTAGAAGGTGAACAAAGGAAAGAAATTAAGATTATACACTTACATAGGCTATATACATATGCAAAGCTAAGGTATTTCAGGTTGATTTATTTAAAACAACAAACCTGCAGGCTATAAATAAGTTGTATACATATGGCTCCCTAATGGCTCCCCATGTAACTATTATTATCTGGCAGATTTACATGGTCATAACGGGGAAACTGAATTTAGAGAAAAGATGAGTAAAAACCAAAACAAACCAACCAAAAAACAGGACAGCATTTAACTGGATTTCTGGTGTGAGTTCCCTTTCACTGACATACCAATTCTTTTTTTTTTTAGGCCATTCCCAGTACTATTACTATACTTGGGACATTATCGCATTATACTCACTAACACAGCAAAAAGAATTAAGACCATTGTCCCTCTCTTCACTTTCCTGACTCTTTGTCGGTATTATTTGTTCCCTTGGTGTCCTTGGATTTTGCCCTTCTATTTCAGTTTAGTCTGACACTCCTCTCCTATGCTCTCAACTTTTGAGATCATTTAGGGCTTGCTATGAACACTAAATTCAGTCCAACCACAGAATCACAGAATGGTTTGGGTTGGAAGGGACCTTAAAGACCATCTAGTTCCAACCCCCCTGCCATGGGCAGGGACACCTTCCACTAGACCAGGTTGCTCAAAGCCACATCCAGCCTGGCCTTGAAGACAGCCAGGGATGGGGCATCCACAGCTTCTCTGGGCAATTTGTTCCAGTGCTTCACCACCCTCTCCAGGAAGAACTGAATACAGTATAATTGAATATAACTGAACAAATTGGATATATACTGGATTGCAGTACAAAAACATTACGACTATGACAAAGAGAATTAATTATTTCAATAGTACTATTCAATGAATTTCAAGCCCTACTACCAGAAGATCTTTCTCCTTCCCCAGGAGCAGTCGCACATGGCTGCTTCATGCTCCATATCTTCACATGGCTGCTTCCATGCTTCTTCTGGTTAATGTAGTTCCTCTCTTACACACTAAGACTGCTTATCTGCCACTCAGCATTTCCTTGCCACAATTCCATTCCCACAACTTCCTGGCAAAACGAAATAGCTCCTCAAAACACGTCTGGAGCATCTATAGCAAGATGCCATTGACAGAAAACCAAAACATCCTGGTTTCAGAAAGTGCTGAATAAAACAGCAGGACTGTGTACTTGGAGAGGGAACAGAAGTCATGAACATGCATTTGCACTGCAAGACAGCATGATCACAACTGCTGATACTGACAGCTTCGATACTGCCAGGTAACATCATTACTTCTACAGGAGCAGACAAATTCTTAGGGCTCTATCTATCCTCTGAAACTTCTATACAGGATTTCAAAGCAGCAAACGAGCAGAGAAATTAATACAGCTGAGATATGCAGGAAAACAGTGACAATATCTTTTTTTCAAAATAACATTACAGTGCTGCATTATTGCCTTTTACAGAATAAACTTTATAGTAAGCCTCATGGCTTAGTGGAAGGGTAGGGATATTACGTTGAGCAAGCTCTTTTGTCAGGAACCAACCGCAGAGCCAAAGATTAGATTTGCTAATTCTCTGAAACAAACAAAAAAGTCCTGAGTGCTACCTAGTTTAAATAATTAATAAATTATTTTTTTATCCATCTCGTAGAACTAAATCTATTTTGCACAAAACCAAGCAAACTTTCCTCTTATGTTCTGCAGCAGCCACTTTCATGGAACCATTTTGTTCTGCAATTCCAGATGGTAATGGATCTAACTGCCAGAGCTCTGTTCAAAGCAACCAGCCTCTTCTTCAAATATCCTTTTTCTCATACATCGTACAATGAACAAATTTACCTTTTGTTACTCTGTGTTGATGTTGGTGGCATACTTCTACCTGAATGCCTGATGCACCTTGTGCTCTTGTCAATACATAACTGGATTTAGGCAGAAAACAGTGACACCTAAAACCTCCTACAAAACACTCATTTTTTAAAAAAATAAAAGAACTTTTATGTAAAGAAAATGAAATGTCATTTCTAGATTCCAAATGATACAAATATGTAACTTTTTTTTTTTTTTAAAGTATCACAGCTATCAAAGTCCATCCATATTTAGAATGGGATGCCCAAGTCAGACCAGAACAAAACGTGAGAGAAATTATATCTCTAGGAACTTAGAGATCAGTCAAGCTGAAAAGACAACTGCAAGTCTGGCGCTGGAAAAAGCATATACTTTTTAAGATGTAAGAATATTATTTAATTTAATATGTAAGAATATTAATATTTAATTTAATATGTAAGAATAATATTTAGACCATCCTCTTCTAATGAATCCCAGAATTTGGTAGAAGAGGAATGCTATCATCATATTTCAGAAATGTTTTATTTTGCAAGGAGTATTCATATATAAACTAGTAACAGATAATATACTGATGCAGATCAGTGCTTCGTAACTAGAGTTGATATAAAACTCTGGCAAAGAAGCAGTTAGTAAGGACAAAAAGAATTTAATTAGATCAGATCATCTTTCTAACAAGGCAGGCTTGCAGATCTAGCTAAGATCTGGGGTGCTGTCCAACTTAATATTTGCTATTTACTACAGCCTCACAGGGAGAAAATACAAACATGACAACTTCTGCAAATATTGTATTATCAGCCCTTGAAAATAATTAAGTCATTAGGGATAAGAAAATACTTGCACTTTTCTACTTTATTTCTGAAATTACTGAAAACATGAAATTTTAGATGCACACCCAAGTTTCCACTGGTTTTGTATATCCATTTTAAAATGAGTTTCCTTTCCCTCATCTTGAATTCTGCACTTTTTGCTTAAGATAAAAAGACTAAAATATTCAGCTTTACATTTCATGTATTTTACCACAAAAGAAAGGAGGAGTCTCTAGAGTTATCTGTTAAAAAAGAAAAAAAATCAAGAGTAAATATGAACTGCAGTATTTGATCTAGTACCTACTCATATGAGTGGAGACAAACGGCGAAAGCAAAGTCCATCATGAGACAAATGTATACTAGATACATAGAACAGCCTTGATGGCTTTTTAAACAAATGAAATCTACAAAGAACATTGCTTCATTGCTTTTCTTTCACAACATGGAACATTCCACCTTGTTAAGATGATAAATACATTGGATAAAAAACTGAGTGTGGGGACAGGAGTTATGTTTCCAAAGCTCAGAAGCTGTTACATATGAAATCCCAAAGAAACAGTGTCAAACCTTCTCTTGGAAGTGCATACAACACTGCACTTAGCAATTGTGGCAATTCAGATAGAGGGAGAAATTGTCTCTTTCCTTCCACGGTCTCTAGCCTGAGTATGTAGTACTAGTCATATCCTTTCTTGAAATGCTCTGAAGCAGACAGCAAGAGTCTCTCATTTCCAATAATTGGAAAAGAAGTTCCCCATTCCATATACAATGAGTTTTAAAATATTTTTATCAATGCAATACTGACCCTTAAAGTAACTTAGGGCTAGAACTGTGGGGTGCTGCCATGCTGGATTAAGAATCTATGTGAGGAAAGAAATATGTATATTTGACAAATTTAAATGACTGGGGGTGGGAGGGAAATCCTCCTCACAGCTATCCTGCAATTCCAGAATGTGTCTCTAAAATACATTTTCCCTGTTACAGTATAAAAGATGTGGAAGAAACCCAAACAGCCTCTTAATTTTTGTCTGTATTGCAAACACTTTGGAACAGGGACTCCTAAAGAAAGCAATGTTTCTGTACTGCTTATCACATGCTAACCAGTCCGATCTTATTTCTGAAACCTGTCAATAATGGATTTCAAATAGATCTAGCAGCATCGGTTCAAATGCATTACACATGCACGATGTGCAAAGCCTCTGTGGCTTCCTAGAACTGCAGGATATAGGCTAACAAGCACCACAGTTAAACCTGTAAATCAACTAAATCCACTCTGACAGTGAACTT